AATAATAAATATTGTAACTTTGGCAATTTATTCGCGGGGCAAGGCAATGTGTTTTTTGACTCGCATATTGTAGTTCAGTAGCTGAGCAGAAACCAGGGAGATATCATCTTGGAGTTAAGTCATTCTTTTGTTCTAGCCATATACATATATTAATATTGATTTAATGTCTGGAAGTTACAGTGATATTTTTAATGTGATATATATTGTGACCATATAATCATCTGTTTGCTTTTGAGATTTATTGAATATAAAATGATATATATATGCTTAGTCTTTATTCTTCAGTTCTATGAAGATTCTATTTTATGCTCATTACCCATTAAGGGGTTATACTGGTGATTCGCTATTGAGAACAGCAGTTGTGTCGTATCCCTAGACTTATTAAAGTTTGGCTGCTGTAGGATCACGAGCCGTAACGTACGATAGGTAACAAATAGGTCCTCCTTCGTACAAATATGTTGTCATAAACGAATTTTTAAACTTTTTTGGACAGTCCGGAAAAAATAAAGTTAATGAATCAAACTTAAATACTGAGGCTTAGTATAGCTGCTATAGCACATATATGTACCCTCAGATGGCGTTTATTAGGCCAAAAATGGTTAGGTTATAGGTTTTATTAGTAACATAGATATAACTTTTCCGGTTTGTTCAAATTCAGTAATACGAAAGTCAACTTGATATTGGTCAATCCCGACTTTTTTGTACTATCGACCATATAGTTACTATAAGTACTTTCATTTTAGGAGGCCTGAACTGATAATAAGTCACTAATTCCAGAAAAATCCCTCAGCCTTCCTAATCTAAATCTTTTAGATTAGTGCTAAAAGACAAAAAAGTCTGTTAGGTCTACTCTACTTCCAGCCGTTAGTAAATCCTGGTGCAGCAATTATGTTTCTTGACTGGTCGGCAGGTCCTCTGACAACAGTGAATGCCGAGCTGGTCAACGCCTGGGTGAAGGTTGGTGATGAGGGCGAGCCGGACCAGCCGGATATCCAGCTGTTCTTGAGCAGCGTCGCCACCACGGCGGACAGCGGCGCCCTCTACCCCGCGGTCTGGGGACTGGATAGGCAAGTGAGTATATCCTTCAGCTGTCACCTGGATTTTCAATGTAGCTGAGCCTAACATTTTAAAAGCACTACGACCACCTTCTGTGGTTGTTCAATAAATCTCTGAACTGTATGTTTGACAAATCTCTCACCCTGTCCATGGAGGACAGAAGAAAATGTATATATGCTAGTTAGCATTGTAAATGTGTGGCCACGTCTGTGGTAGAAAATAATAATAATAAAAAAAAACTGGATTTTCAGCCGCGCATCAAAATCTGTTTTATATTTTGCGCGACAAAACGCTTCGCCTATCACGCTACAGTACTATTCAAATGTCATGGAACTAAAAGGATGACTATATTGTGTTCGTCACTATCCTGGAACCAGTCAGGTAGCGCACCTTTGGACACTCTCCAGCTTGCTTTTGTGCATGTCAGAATTGATCTGACCCATGTACTACGTGGTTCTGAGTGACTCCTTGTGAAGATATATGAAGGCAGGCCACATTTTGGCCAACCTTCTACTTGTAGGCAACGTTATATGGCAAAATTAGTAAGGGAAGAAGTAGCTTCGGCAATGTGTCATCCTATTTATTCCAATCCGATCATGTTGGTTATGTACCCAACAGCAACTGCTGTTAAAATTTGGGTGAGGACGGTTTGAATGTCTCGGGCTCAGAATACACTTTTACGGTCTAGCTTTACGAATACTTTACATTCCAATTAGTACTTCGACGTGTTAAGTGTTCGACAGCGCCTATCGTAAGTACTGTACATTTGCTCAGGATAAGGATTCATCAAGCCTATAAATATTCACTTACGAAACCTGTTCATCGCTCCAAGATCACGACGGCTTGATCCTTATCACACAGTTGACGAGTTTCGAGATTTCACAGCCCAAGGTTATTATTGTTATAACAACTTCGCATTGTCTCGGGGCTCATAAACTGTTTAATAAATGTAAACAATGCCGCCATGGTTGTTGAAAGAGGTACAGGTTCACCCTCCAGAGGGACATCAAGGCTACCACACAGCCCGTCCACCCGTTTCAAAACGTCATGTTGTTATAGATTCAGCTACTCGGAACAAGTTCCAAGTAGAACGGGCTATGGTGAGCCCGTAACTTACCTGGCACAGGAGCGGGGCAAGTAGCAAGGGCTATGGTGAGCCCGTAGTGGACTTACCTGGCACAGGAGCGGTGCAAGTAGCACGGGCTATGGTGAGGCCGTAGTGGACTTACCTGGCACAGGAGCGGTGCAAGTAGCACGGGCTATGGTGAGCCCGTAGTGGACTTACCTGGCACAGGAGCGGTGCAAGTAGCACGGGCTATGGTGAGCCCGTAGTGGACTTACCTGGCACAGGAGCGGTGCAAGTAGCACGGGCTATGGTGAGCCCGTAGTGGACTTACCTGGCACAGGAGCGGTGCAAGTAGCACGGGCTATGGTGAGCCCGTAGTGGACTTACCTGGCACAGGAGCGGTGCAAGTAGCACGGGCTATGGTGAGCCCGTAGTGGACTTACCTGGCACAGGAGCGGTGCCCCTCAAAACGTCAAGAAAGCGTTTAATTTAAAGTGTCCTCTCCTCTCCTAACCTCAACCCGTCCTTACACAATAAGGTCGTTTTTCGCTCGTATGCGCACTAAGGCTAAAAATTGCCGTACTAGAAATTGAAAGCGCTCGCGAAAGCGACGTACTGTCCTGTTTTCTGTTTTGGGTCTTCTGGCTTAGGCTGTTAGGTTAAGGGAGGACACTTTAAATTAACAGTTTTCATGACCTTTTGAAACCTTAGGAGAACCTGCTGCCCTCCTAACCTAGCAGAGGACCCAAAACTTGTTGTTGTGGGTCCATTTCACTTGGAAAATGAATTTCCATTTCCTAATACGCCAATTTTTAGCCGTAGCGCATACGAGCGAAAAGCGACGCTACTTGTAAGAGGACGGGGGAAAAACCCCATTGGCAATTCTAATGTTTTCTATTCTCTTCTAATTAAAAATTTCCAGAAATTTAAGGAGTATTTCAAGAGTATATACGGCAAGGCAGCCTTCAGCATGAGACCGACCCTGGTCCACCCCAAGAGTCGGGGGACAGTCACCCTCAGGTCCCGGGACCCAAGAGAACCTCCTAACATTGACCCTAACTTCCTCAGCCATCCACATGACGTAGCCATGCTGGTTAAAGGTAAGTGTAGTTCATTATTTTGTTTTCACTCTTCAATTGTCAACCCATCCCTGAAAAAGGATAGTATTTACATCAACTACTTAGCTCACGGGATGGGTATGGGGTGCATAATAAAGAAATTGAATACTTAGTTGAACGTACAAAAATAAAATGGTGCCGCCAACAATGTTTTGTTAGGTTATTATGTTTTATCATTTTGATAGAGGGCACGAACAAAATACTAATCATCCCAAGGCCCAGTATAACACCTACATATATTCTATGTTAGGCTTGATATCTTATATTAGCCCTAGGATTGCTTATTTTGGCATAGAACAGGTTAGGTTATAGGTTCTTTAGTTATGTGTCCATTTTTTTTTTTAAGTACGCCATTTGAGCTAATTCTGCAATATAAAGCGTAAAGTTTTTGGTCCAACAGTCTATTTTCGTACGCTAGACCAAATAGTTCCCATAAGTACTTTTATTTGGAAGATTGGCTGTCATATGTTTAATAAATTTGGTTCTACTGGCAAGAATTGCCTCTTTTCAAATCCTTCCTTCAGGATACTAGTTACATCCAACAGAAAATGGTTCGTCAACGGACATTAAAACGTACCTAACCCAAACCAACTCAACCGAGCCTAACACAGCCTAGTCTAACCTAATACATCCTATCAATATTATACAGTTTTTAACAATCAGAAAATGAGCTTCGTCGAACTTTCTTGTGTACAATTTAACCGTATTCCATCCCCCCCCCCCCTAAAAAAAATATGCCTACTTCCGCAAATGATCCACATATCTCGGAACATAACACATCGATTAATTCCTCGGGATAAAAATATAACAACCACACTTTCCTAATTTCTCTTTCCAGGAATAAATTTCACATTGGCACTGGGAAACACGCCTGCCTTCACTCGCCACCTTAGAGCAAAGTTCTATGATAAGGTGAGCACTCGATGATTTCAAGTCACATCGTACCTAAGAGGGTTCGCCAATGAATTTAATTAGAGCAAAACCTAATCTAACCTTACCCAACCTAACCTCCTAATCTAACCCAAACCAACCAAGCCTACTCCTAAGGTAACAATATATATTTTATATATATATATATATATATATATATATATATATATATATATATATATATATATATATATATATATATATATATATATATATTTATTAGTATATTTTGGTAGCAGTCTTTCTTGTAAACATATGTTGTTGAATATGACCGAAAAGGTAAGATTAATAATTCTAACTAATTCTAAGAAAGGAATTTTGGAGAATTGATATTTTTATTACCACCGACAGTGAAGAAAAACATAAGAAATATTGAGAAAATTCGTGTATAATATATATAATGTCGTACCTAGTAGCCAGAACGCACTTCTCTGCCTACTATGCAAGGCCCGATTTGCCTAATAAGCCAAGTTTTCATGAATTAATTATTTTTCGACTACCTAACCAAACCTAACCTATAAAGATAGGTTAGGTTAGGTTAGGTAGGGTTGGTTAGGTTCGGTCATACATCTACGTTAATTTTAACTCCAATAAAAAAAAATGACCTCATACGTAATGAAATGGGTAGCTTTATCATTTCATAAGAAAAAGATTAGAGAAAATATATAATTCAGGAAAACTTGGCTTATTAGGCAAATCGGGCCTTGCATAGTAGGCCGAGAGGTGCGTTCTGGCTACTAGGTACGACATATATATATATTCGCCTTGTATATAATTTGACCGCACCTCGAATCAACAACCCAAGTCACGTAGCATGTTTTATACAGAGCAAAAGGTCTTCTCGCTCATCAAGTCGCATTTTTAATGTAATCAACACATCCTTAATAATGGGACGTAACAGTACAAATCAGAATGCTGTAATATTGATGCTTTGATTGAGAGCTATGATTGTTCATGGTGTTATTTCGTCATTTTCTGTCCGCTTTCCCACACTCTCTATGGACCGTAGGCACTATATTGGGGGTCGTTTATAATCTATGAATACTCCCCATATGTTCACCAGTGTGTAAAATGCTGGAAAAACAATCTCACTGGAAGAAACACGTCATTTAATATTGAGTCGCTAGGCAGTTACAAGGTAGAAATAGCTACTCTATCCCTTTGAGATGTATTTCTTTCTTGTCTCAATAAACATACTTGAACTTGAAGTCACATTGTACACAAGACGGTTAGTCAATGATTTTTAAAACATACCTAACTAAATCCAACCTCACCTAACCCAAACTAACCTAACCTAACCAAACCTAACCCCAAACTAACCTTACCTAATCCAACTGAACCTAACAGCCGAAACTAAAGATATGTACGATTCTAACCTTCGTTTTACGAGAGAATTCAGTGCCTATGTATCCTAACCAGCCCTGTTAGATAAGGACTGGAGTGGGTTGCCAAGCTCAATCAATTTTTTATATATTGTAAAATTTTTGGGAAAATTTTACCCGAAGATGCCTAGTGTAGATTGCCACTATATTATATATATATATATATATATATATATATATATATATATATATATATATATATATATATATATATATATATATATATATATATATATATATATGTCGTACCTAGTAGCCAGAACGCACTTCTCAGCCTACTATGCAAGGCCCGATTTGCCTAATAAGCCAAGTTTTCATGAATTAATTGTTTTTCGACTACCTAACCTACCTAACCTAACCTAACCTAACTTTTTCGGCTACCTAACCTAACCTAACCTATAAAGATAGGTTAGGTTAGGTTAGGTAGGGTTGGTTAGGTTCGGTCAAATATCTACGTTAATTTTAACTCCAATAAAGAAAAATTGACCTCATACATAATGAAAAGGGTAGATTTATCATTTCATAAGAAAAAAATTAGAGAATATATATTAATTCAGGAAAACTTGGCTTATTAGGCAAATCGGGCCTTGAATAGTAGGCCAAAAAGTGCGTTCTGGCTACTAGGTACGACATATATATATATATATATATATATATATATATATATATATATATATATATATATATATATATATATATATATTAGTATATTTTGGTAGCAGTCTTTCCTGGAGACATATATTATTAAATATGACCGAAAAAGTAAGATTAATAATTCTAACACGAATTTTCTCAATCTTTCGTACATTTCTTTTCACTGCTGGTGGTAATTCAAAAATCAATTCTCCAAAATTCATCCAAAAGAAATATATATAAATAAAAATGAATTTTGGAGAATTGATTTTTGAATTACCACCAGCAGTGAAAAGAAATGTACGAAAGATTGAGAAAATTCGTGTTAGAATTATTAATCTTACTTTTTCGGTCATATTTAATAATATATATATATATATATATATATATATATATATATATATATATATATATATATATATATATATATATATATATATATATATATATATATATCGTACCAAATAGCCATAATGCACTACTTGGCCTAGTATGCAAGGCCCGATGGCCCGAATTGACTAACAGGCAGTGATTTTCGCTACTTTCAAATATTCATTTTCAAATTAGTTTATTTGAATTAATATTATTATATATAGAACATAAATTACTGACGTTAGGCTAGGTAGGTTAGGTTTGATCAAATTTCAATATTAGTTTTAACTCTATTTTTAACACTATAGCGACCCCAATTCAAATACATAACTAACCTACGCTTAAAACAATCCATCGGTATGGGGGTGTCTAATAAATGAACTAAACTATAAATACCAAAGATTCGAACAATTCACATTGTCTTAATACCCGCATCAAAGGTTCTGCCGGAGTGTAGGGAGCTGGTGTATGGGAGCGAGTCCTACTGGGAGTGTTACATTCGTCACATGGCCACCACCACTTTCCACCTGGCTGGTACCTGCAAGATGGCGCCTCTCTCGGACCCTCTTGGTGTTGTAGACCACAATCTAAGGTAAGTTTCTCCTGTAGTATTACAAGAATGCGATAGTGGAAATGCCCAACACGATTTGCCTTACCTTGACGTTACCTCAAAGTGGTTCCGAAAAACCTATGATTCGGTCTTTGACCAAGCTTCCAAAGTAAACGGTCAAACGTCTTTGTAAACAGTCTTATGTATGAATTACAACCCAGTTAGTTTGGTATCCGTTGGAGGTGTTTAGGTTGGCATTGGGCTTAACGCCTATCAACCTATGGAAGGTGATTAAGCCAACAGCAATTACTGACCAACCAGCAATTAAAGTTTAGTCCTGGACATAGTCCAGGACTAAACTTTACTAGTAAACTCTCAGTATATGGTTTCACACAACGTAATAGTGTTCATAACTGTATCACAATCTTTTTCACTGTTCATAAAGACAGAAGGCACAAGTACACAATATTTCTTGATTTAAAAACGCCTTCGATATTACTAACAAGGACGTGACCCTGTATGAATTAGCTAGAACGGATACAGGTAGTCAGTTGTTACAATGGATATGAGATTGTCTTTCCAACCGCGTGTCCTCTGCGCTGTTCCAAGGCTACAAAAGTGAAACTAAATTAATGCAACTATGCACCCCACAAGGTGGAGTACTAAGTCCCACATTGTTCAATATTCTAATTCCATGCCCAAATAAAATCATTCCCAGCTGGTCCTACAAAATCACTATTAGCTATGCAGATGACAACCTTGTGCATACTAAAACCCACCGCGAAATGCAAATAATCTTAAATTATATACATACAGCTTGTGAGAGCCTTGGTCTTGTAATCAACGCTGCAAAAACTAAAGGTATATAACAGTCAAATTGGCAAAACCAAAAGTGGACATCAAAACTAAAAATGAATAACATACCAATAGACTGTATCCTCTTACAAAAAATACCTTGGCGTATCATTCCTCTGTATCTTAACTGCAGTCAAAAATTATATTAACAATGCAAAGACAAACTCAAGGCTCTCAGAACTGTAGTTGGGGTACAGTCCTCATTACGGTGTTAATATTAGAACCGCAACAATGATGTACTTAACATATAAGGTCTCTGATACACTATCATGCACCAGCTTTAGTTCTGCATAGTGGCAAAAGTATTGATAGACCGGAAAAAATGCAAAATGAATTATACTTGGTTGTCCTATAACCAGCAAAGTTCTCAATATGCGGAAAGAAATATATATATCATTCAAGATAGAATATTTGAAATTAATCTTATGATGGGACTAAAGCTTCTGCATGATAACATTAACATCATTGTGTCAGTTGAACTGCTAGAACACATACGCAATGGAACTAGTGAGCCTAAATGGATTCAAAAAACAACCACTCACATTAAAATGGTGGGACTGCACGATGTATGTAAAGATGAAAGTGCAGCAGTGCCTTGCACTTTCGCAGATAGTGCCTTTTGATATCCTGACGCCAACATATCCCACCGAGAAACTAATCACACACAAGCCTCATGCTCAGCTTGCTGCTAAATTAAGTGTCCCTTGAATGCGTATACAATGACAATCTACAAACTAAAATGAACATTACACGGACCATATACACTGACGGATTACTCAATACAGATACAGCATGGGCGTGAAATGTTATTTTTGTTCATCAGCCCAATGGCAGCACAATTGGAAAGGCTGTAAAGATTTGTAACTGGGCATCCACCATGCAAGTTGAACTGGTAGCAATACTGGTAGCACTCAAAATTATTGACAACACTAATGTAGACAGCATAATTATTTCAGACTCCCTTTCCTCACTACTAGCATTATATAGTTTACAGTCAAGTAATAACGTGCTTGTCTCCGAAGCCAGACACAGATATATACGCATACTTAATAAGGAGGTAAACATCAAAATGTTATGGAGTCCCCTCTCACATTGGCCTGTAGGAAGATGATAAAGTTGGCGCCCTTGCTAAGATTGCCGTAAATATAAAGACAATGTTGAACGGAATCTTGTGTTATGAAGATTCGATTTGAGAATGGCCCAGGACGGACCGAAACGTCGTCGTCCCTTCACTTTCTAGTGTGTGGTCTGGTCAACATACTTTAGCTACATTATTGTGACTCATCGCCTGCGCTTGTGTTATGAAATAAGTACCTTAAAAGTTGACCAGACCACACACTAGAAAGTGGAGGGACGACGACGTTTCGGTCCATCCTGGACCTTTCACAATCGACTTGAGAATGTTCCAGGACGGACCGAAACGTCGTCGTCCCTTCACATTCTAGTATGTGGTCTGGTCAACATATTTCAGCCACGTTATTGTGACTCATCGTCTGCATACCTTAAAAATGTCTGTAGACGAGAACTCTTGCATTATTTTAAAGAAAATAAAAAGAGTGCAAACTGGAACTAGCAAGTACATTGGTCCTCACAATGAAATGTGTGAAGTAAAACACGTGTATGGGGGCAAGTAACAAAATCAGCAGACTAACAGACGTTGTCACAGCTCGAATAAGACTTGGCTACAAGTATATATAGCAGTTGGGCTAGTATAGGGATATGGATGAAGTAAAGTATGCAGACTAAGACAGGGACACACACTAGAGCATTACATCTTAGACTGTGATGAAATTGATCTATTTAGAGATAAATCTAAACTCACGTTGCATGAAATAGCAAAGCATATTATTACTAACGATAAAATATCTGAAATCCTTACACTGTATCCATGTTTTGCTTCCTGTAGATATATGACATGAGGTTAGGAAACAAGCAGTGTAGTGTGAAGACTAATAATAATTACCAGCAGCTTTCTTATTACCCTGTAATACCACCACAGCTAAAACAGTTAGGAATTAGCGAAAAGACCTACCATTAATGTATAATAATTAACTGTTAATTCATAGCTATTGAAATGGAACAATCTCTGAAACCACCTGATATAATAAGTATAAGGTGTGCAGGATAGACATAATTGTTAATGTAATAATCTTCGTTGAGGTTTAAATAAAGACCTTTTGTGCCCTCTGTACTCGTTTTTGCGCTACCGCTCACAGGAAGAGTATGGGGTGAACAACAAACTTGCCGCCTCCGGCAACAACAATCTCAGTGTATATATATACAGAGAAGCGGGGTACACCTCTCCGTATGTATATATATATTACATATATATATATATATCCCTTGTTGGAGACGTTTATCAAGTAAGCTCTTTGGTGTATAATACCGTATACATACATACATACATAACGATTTTGTAAATTAGAGGAATGTATGCCATGTATTTACATGTATTAAAACAAATAAGAATGGGAAAAATTCTTACATGAAATTATATATAAATTAGTTAAAAGGACGGATTTGATATTCGAATATTAATGTCTGAAATGTAAAAAAATAATAATTTAATGTATAAAATGTTCTATAAAATTTTATCAAGAAAATGTTTGATATCTAAATCTAAATATGAGCTAGATTCACAAGGACATTAACATGAAATTACCGACATGAATTATAGCATGACTTCAAATGAAACCTAAAACATTGGCTAATTGCATTTTATCGTCTGACCTTTGACATAATTGTCCAAAACTAATCAGGATCCAGTAATCATTGTTGTAAGAGCTTGCAGCTCTCAACCTATCCTATAGAACTGAGAGTACTTATGCAATCCTATAGAACTGAGAGTACGTATGCAATGCTATAGAACAGAGAATACTTATGCAATCCTATAGAACTGAGTACTTATGCAATCCTATAGAACTGAGAGTACTTATGCAATCCTATAGAACTGAGAATACTTATGCAATCCTATAGAACTGAGAATACTTATGCAATCCTATAGAACTGAGAGTACTTATGCAATCCCATAGAACTGAGAGTACTTATGAAATCCTATAGAACAGAGTACTTATGCAGTTCTATACTTATGCAATCCTATATGCTGAGAGTACTTTTGCAATCCTATAGAACTGAGAGTACTTATAGCAACCATTTGCGTCAACGTACAAAAATGGACTGTTGCAGCCAGCAAGGTTCATGTGCTATTAATTTTGTAAAAAGCGCGAAATAAATTTAGCCAAAAACCAAACCTGAACATTCCTAAGCCTAATATAGCACATACGTACAGTACTAAATTAGGCCTAAGATAACATACAATATGCCAATGACTGGTTATTTAGGTCTAGAACTAACTATGTTCTTTAGCTATTGTTCTATTTTTAAGCATGCCATCTATGCAAGAGGATACGAGAAATCTCAGTGTATTTCAATAGCATAGATACTATGCAAGAGGATAGAACACCAAACTACTAGCAGGAGGATACTGTCCTCTTGAATAGTACAAAACGGAAACTTTTTTAACTCTTAAAATCATAAAAAAATGCTGGGTGTCACTGTCGGAGTCAATATTTCTTAAAAGAGAGGCAATGTGCCCGACTTGAGCAGCATAAGACAGGACACATACTGCTTCCCACACCTGTATCATTCATCCTTAATAGTTGGGTGAAACTAGCCCCAAACGAAAGACATTATCTTTTAGGGATATAGATATTTTTCCACTCAAAATCTCTCTCTTATACATGCAGTACTAGTATTTTATATAACTGTTAAAAGACTCACATAATTTCATCGATGTTATTTTAATTGAAATGCCTTAAACTATTATAACTGGTGGTGTAGAGTGCCTTAGGTGTATGAACGTGCAACCACAAGACAGTACATATATGACTTATTGCTTATATTCAATATTTCGCTTATAAATAAGTATATATGTGACATATTCCAAATCATGTTTTTTTCCAAGGCACTAACTCTTCCTCTCAGTTTTATTAAACAATAGAGATTTTATTCAACATTTGACAATATCCTAAGTTATTTTAAAATTTATTTAAATATTTTCGTTTTCTTTTATAAAACTGTAATATCAATATAGGTATTGGTTAAGTACAATTGTAATATCTTAACATACTAAGCAGGTTAGGTTAGGTCGGTGTTTTCTATTCAGCTTTTCAAGGTAAACTCAAATATTCACAATAAATTAGTATGTCACATACGCACTTATTCATAAGCCAAATATTGACTATAAGTGCGAGAACGGGTTGGAACGTGGGTGTTTGTAATGATAGTGGGTAAAGATTCTTCCCACTGACGCAGGGTACGGGGTACACAGTACCTTAGGTGTATGAACGTGAATGTTTGTAATGATAGTGGGTAAAGTGTCTCCCCACTGACGCAGGGTACGAGGCGTGTCGAGGCTGCGGGTGGTGGACGCCTCCATCATGCCCTTCGTCACCACGGGCAACACCAACGCTCCCACCATCATGATTGCTGAGGCTGCCGCTCACATCATCAACACACACTGGACAACTACCAAATAACTATATTTTCAATAAATCTAAATTTATTCTGTGTTGCTGTTTTAATGCCTCCGGGTGTTAATTATTATTTTCTTAATTCTTGGTAAATTATCTTAGGAACATTATGAGATAGAAAGCCCACGAAATGAAAGAACATTTTCAGTCATCTCAGCTTGGGGGATGGCATTTATGCATATATAAATTGCATGTGCATTCCACTGCTCATGTTCTTATTCACTTGATGGGGCGATAAGAGTTGCTCTCTTAGCCTTGAGTAAGAATGATACAATCTTAAGTCGACATGGCTTGCAGTCTCCCTCAGCGAAAGTCTACCTACCGTACTACGAGGTCATAAGTATTGAAATCGAATAATAATTACCCAAGTAGGTCATTATAATCACAAAATGCCACCATCTGTTACAAAATTTACTTCACCGAGGATATTTTTTTCCTCGAAATTCACTGATAATTTTTCCAATGTGCCTTTTGAATCCGCATATGCCTCAGAAGGCACGTTTGGAAAGCAAAATTCCCGATAATTCTAAAAAATCAGGGCACTCAGCGAGTAGGTGCGCACGGGTAGCGGGACAACTCAGGTCTGACGGTATGGTGCAGATCTCTGTTCCACCGAGTGACCATGAGTTCCTTTTTGTGCAACCTTGTAACCTATCTAATAGATAGGTTACAAGGTTCCTACTCCATGTTGCAGTGACAGGTGGCAACCTACGCAATTTGTTATTTATTAATAGATAATAAATCTTCAACAGCTGGGGGATTATATTATGAAGGACAGAGTAGAATGCCAAGTAGGGAATACGCCCTTTGGGAGATGATATAGGCGCAAACGTCCACTTGAACAGCGGCGTCTATGGGGTCATTAGAGGTACACCAATGTAACTGAGAACCTATAGTAAAACTCGGTTGTTATAAATTTGCTTTGGATCAGGTACAGATATTGTTTGATTGCGATCACTTCATGCTAAAAAAAAAAAAAGGTGAAAAAACTAGGGCCATGAAAGGCAACAATCAACCATAAGTGGTGTTGCATTAGTTATAGAGTTAGCATACACAGAAATCCAATTACTGAGCATTAATAATGTCTCAAAGTTGTGAATAATCTTAAATTCCCCAACCCATTCCCTAAGCGATAGTACTTGTACCTACTATGAATAGAATGTACAAACTGTGGACAACTGCACCCTCCCAAAAAAAAAAACAGGTTTCTTCAGTTCGTTGTACTTTCATCTGTGTACTAATCAGTGAATATCACAATCACAAAACCATTATATATGATTAATTCACACTACATAACAAATAATGCAGTTAAAGATAGGCAATAGTTAAAACGGTAAACATATACCGGATTATTGGTTTAATTAGTGAGTGTCGTACGCCAGTTACAACGGCCCATTGATTTAAAACTGTTTTTGGCCACAGCGAGCGCACCCAATGCTTAAAATTGTTGAGGAATCACTATGCATGCACGAGTCTATTGCATATCACCATGTAATCTATTTCATAATGAATATCAGATACAGTACATCGGTTAATCGACTATTAAGCTAATAATTGGCGGAGAAATATTGGGTTAATAATTGTGATTAGTCAACTGCCCCGTTGAAAGGGTTCATAGCGTTCACCTTGTGACAATCTAGTTTCAAGATGTACTACAAATAATTATCGTTACCCATCTGACCAAGCTTAATAAATAAGCTCTCTATAAGTAAAAATGATATATAATGCGAGATGCCTAAGGTATACAACAGATGAATCTGACATAAATGAGACATAGAATATTATCGAATTCAAAATTATTAAATGCTATTATTGAAAGGGTCAGTCAAGTGGACGCCTCGAGAGGGAAGCATTTTACTGAAGGTCAGTTGAGTACATAGGAGTATATGGTGAAGTAAGGTGAATCGTAGTCTAGCACCTGGTAGGGTACATACCTATTCAGAATCTCCGAATTCCCGTATATCAGTGATATATTTGAAGATGAGTTCTCCGATATCGGGCAGGAAGGATTATACGGGAAAGATATATATTTTGTTAAAGACTCCTAGAGAGAGCGGCTAAATATGTGTCATAGGCTTCGGCTGTTAAGAACCTGTCAGTGATGGACATACGAAACGCAAAACTGTGGTTATGGAAGACCTTCACCTCGTTCACATTCTCCTGTCTACATAACATAGATTCTGAACCTCAATATTGTTCCAATATCCACGCAATTTGAAAACCTACATTTTTTCCTCCGTCCAAGGAGGAGAAATGCATGATGATGGGACGGGGGGAAGGAATAACGCCCAAGAGGGCGTTTTCGGTGTTATTTGTCAAAATATCGGGTAATACCGAAATAATTGATAGATCCAATGACAATAGAAGACTAGACATCATTGAGGCGCTGCATATCAAGAAAACTAGACCAACAATTAATAACCAGTTAGTATAAACAATTACACTACCCATTTCAAGACTCTGGGCCAAGGCAGAAGCAGGACCAAATGATCCTGCGACAGGAACGGTAACAACCAGAAGAGCATCAGCTGCTAACATGTCACACTCTATGTTGATACATTTAATAACTTATCAATATCCCCAATTTAATGACATTCATCCATGTTAACTAACTCCCTCGCCATAAGAGGATATAAGCCGATGGTAAGCACGCTAAGCCACCTAAGTTACAGCCCCGCTCCTGTGCCAGTTAAGTCCACTACGGGCTCACCATAGCCCGTGCTACTTGCAACTTTTTGTTCAGAGTAGCTGAATCTAAAACAACAACGCGATAGAATTTGTCTTTGAATGTGTGGAGTGACCTAACGAAACGCATCACTAGGCGTCAGACCCAATAAAAAGTAAAAAATGAACTTTGCAGTTAATTTTTCAATTTCCTGATGCAGTGAAGAAAAACGTAAGGAATATTGAGAAGATTCGTGCCAGAATCATAAATCTAAAACTTTCTGTCGTTTTCAACGAAATATGTTTAAAAGAAAGACTGCTACCCAATTTATTATATTATATATATAATATATATATATATATATATATATATATATATAAAATATATATGTATATAAAATATATATATACTGTATATATTATATATATATATATATATATATATATATACTGTATATATTTATATATATATATATATATATATTATATATATATATATATATATATATATTATATATATATATATATATATATATGGGGGACGAAAGCACAAAAGAACATAAGAATAAAGGTAACTGCAGAAGGCCTATTGGCCCATACGAGGCAGCTCCTATCTATAACTACCCGATCCCACTACATACAAAGATTAATCAGGTGTTCAGAGTAGAATAATTAATCTTACTGAAAGGTAAGATTAATTATTCTAACACGAATCTTTTCAAGATTTCTTATGTTTTTCTTCACTGTCGAGGGTAGTTGAAAAATTAACTCTCCAAAGGTCATTTTCATACTTTAATTATGGTCTGACGCCTTGAAGCCTTTCGCAAGAACACTTTTTACATTTTTAAAGACAATTTTACATACTCAGATCGTGCTTATATTCGGTTTTGGGCGAGGTGACAGGAAACAAATCAATGGGAACAGACAAGGTAGTTCTCAACTACCCCCGACAGTGAAGAAAAACATAATAAATTTATATACACATATAATATCACATAATTTCCCAGCATAGCAGAGCAAACTGCCTCTTCATTCTTACCTTCATTGTGCATCACTCTGCATACAGCCTATTACGACCGGTATGGAGTTCAACCCAAACAAATGTCTAGCCACCACCCGTACAACCCGTACCCAGCCCGAGAGCCTCAGGCAGGTAGGTAGGTAGGTAGGTAGGTAGGTAGGTAGGTAGGTAGGTAGGTAGGTAGGTAGGTAGGTAGGTAGGTAGGTAGGTGGCAGCTAGCTGCTAGACCTGCCGATTCCCTGTTACATACAGATCACCACCGGTTACGTTGCCGGCTCATCGCTTCAACTCTCGGTGACATGGGATGTGATGTCACCCTCGAGGGTGTAAATACCCATCATCCCGGTCACTTCAGTTTTTTTCCTATGCTTAGGGGGAATCCACATTACGGTCTCCACACGACGTTTGCCTGCTAAAGCTGCTTCGTGTCCAGGTTGTGTAATAGGTGTAAATAAATAATTTCACTGTCACTTGAATTTTTGTGTTAAAATAAGTTGATTAGTGTTATTATTATTATTTTTTTTTCTTATGTGCAGGCGATGAGTCACAATAACGTGGCTAAAGTATGTTGACCAGACCACATACTAGAAGGTGAAGGGACGACGACGTTTCGGTCCGTCCTGGACTATTCTCAAGTCGATTGGGGGTCCAGAACGGACCGAAACGTCGTCGTCCCTTCACCTTCTAGTGTGCGGTCTGGTCAACATTTCTCTTATGTGTTAGCCAAGTGTGTGTTCAATCAGGGGTTTTGGGTTCTTTTCGTGTGCTATTTGTTCATTTTGATATTAAAGGAAATTGTCTTAATTTTTTTACTATTACTTCACTCCTGTGCAATTTTCACACTGCAAAGGCCACTGGAGAATTTTGTTTTTCTTAATGCCTAGTGCGTGCCACATTCCATCTGTCCACTATAGCTGCACTACTGAGTCAAGTCACAACATATCATTATATATATTATATAATCATTTTGAGGCAATGGAGTGTCTCGAACTCTCATTCTGGTGAATCCCATACACCTGCCCAACCCGACTCAGCAGAGGCAGACCAAGCCGGAACTCTACTGAATTCAGTGCGCGGTTCTGGAGGCCCCAAACAGGAGCCCAACAAGGATTTTAACATTCGACCCGACCACACTCTGGCCTATGGTAACAGTGTTCACACTCTTGCGCCCCACATCACATAGCAATCTCCAGAACCTCCAAGTAAATTCAGCAGAGTTCCAAGTTGGTCGGCTTTATCTTCTTACCAGAAGCGGTTGGGGAAGGTGTCTGGGATTCACCAGAAAATGAGTTCTTGTGAATTCCACCAGAAATGGATTTTA